GCTTTTTAAGTCTATGAAACTAAATACTTCAATGATGCGACAGCAAATTTGCCATTTGCTTTTCTAATTGCATATATTTAATGGAGCAAAGTGGCTGAAATGAAACATTACCAAAGAAGTGAAGGTGAAGTTACTGAAGTACCAGAGGCCTGCACCAAGAGCAGAAAAATCTACAGCATAAAGTTTGGGGCAGAAGAAAATAACACATTTCCTTTACAATGTACTAGTGCCAACAAATCCTCAAGCTAAGAAGATGTCATTTCAGTTCTATTGGAAAAAAATTATTAAGCATGCATTTAATATTCAAGCAGGATTTTCAACCCTCCATTTAAGAGGCAACTCTCTCCTATTCAACTGATTTACAGAATTATTTTCATTGCTTTCATGCCACCCTTAGTTTGGATATCCAGGTTTATCTGCCACAATGACCACACCACCAATATGTTATTAGGAAGACTACCAGGTTCCCGAAGCAGACTTTAAAAACAACACCTAACAAGTCCTAGGTCTTAAAATATGAGTCCTACATACAGGTTCAGTGGAAACAGAACCACTTTTAATGTATAAACCTTTGTCCATCTGTTCCATATACACACATAAGAGAGAAGGGGAAAAAAAGAGATCCCAAGTCTGTCACCCTTCAGCCTCCAATTATGCTGACTATTCCTTAACAGATTACTTGTCAGTTATGTGGAAGCTCCTAGGGAAAGGAGAATATAAAAATTAAGGAGCTTCAGGGGGTTGTTTCATTAGGAAGAAAAACAAAAACCATCACCAAAACAAAAAACACACCCACAGGTACACTTTAAAAGACAACCAAAAGGTTTTGGTTCTCCTGTGAAACTGGAAGGCCATCGGGACCTCCTAGAATCATGTCACCCAGAAAAAAAATGAAAAAAAAAAAGGGAAAACAGCAATTTGGGGACGAAATGGAATAAAGATACTCATGAAAAGCATTAGTGCCAGCATCTTCCTGTTCACAAGCCAGGAAATTAAATGAAGTTCTGCAACTTGATTCATTCAGAAAAAAAGAGAAAGTGAAACTTCATTAAATATCACGCTATTGCATCCCAAACCATCTTAGATGGGATCCCAAACAGGTCAGGTACAGCTCCAAGCACTGCTAATTAACCAGAACGGAAGTTGTCACTAGTCCATTCAGGAAAACAGATGTTGCTTCATAGAGTTTTGATATTTTTCTTAAATACCTTTCAAAATGAGGAACAAAAAATATGAACTCTTATAAAAGGGCTTTATTGTATTTTTATAGCATATTACATACCTTGTAACAATCATTCTGTTAAGTGTGAATGTCAGTTTTATTTTCTGTCCCTTTTTTCCTGGCTATTTACAAGCTTTGTAAGAATCGTTCCTTAATTAAGTCTAAACATAGTTTTATATAAATGGATTCCTGGAATTAAAAACGTTCAGACTTAAGAAATGATTGTTACAGAGACTGTAACAGGCCGTAAAAAAGAATGCCACTTTAAACAAAGATTTCTCATTTTAATTAAAAAGATAATCATCAGAACATTCGTATACTTAACAGAACCATTTGAAGCTAGTTTGAAAAAATATCTACTATTCTATGCAGGCATATGTAGTTTACTTTATATGATATTTAATCAAAGTCTCAGTTGAGCCTATTGTACTCATACTTTAAACATTATACCTACAGTTTCACAAACACTTTATTCAAATATGAAAGTTACTTATTGAGCACCTCATTCCTGGTAGTTTTGTAAATGGTTATGACAGCAGAAATCCCATATTCTTCAACGCATAAAACCGGAGCTCTGTAAGCCAAAGGGGTTTGGGAAGGGGATCTGTGGTGGGTTTTTTTAAGCTAATGGGCACATTCACTTCCCCTTTTAGTTTGTGCATCAGTCTCTTAAACACTGTACTTTATGAAGACTGTAGTTTTAAATCTGTAGTGTGGAAATATGAAAAGGGGCTGAGGTGAACTGAGACAGGATTCACTCTGGTAAAATCCTTGGTGTACTGGTAGCTGCAGGACTATGTAAGGTACAAGTTCATATTTTAGATTTATGAACTGTCTTTCATTAAAAAAAAACAAAACCAAAACAAACAAAAAAAAACCCCACCACAACAAAACTTTGAGAGATTAAATGTATCATACACGACAGAAAACACTCATTCACCAGCAAAAACAGCTTTCCCTGGTGAGCAGTTGCTTAGCATTGCATAATGCTAATACACAGCAACTTCATATCAGAAATAAATCTAAATCTTAAAACGCAGAAGTAAATTGAGTAGGCAAATGAAGTTAAATGAATTACTTAAACATGACCGTATTAGATTATACATATTGTAGCTGACCACAGATAACTAGGAAACTGGTAGCAGGTATTAGCTAAACGTAATACTGTTTCACTGATGAGTAATCAAGTCAATGCCAGCCAGTAAGAAGGTGGCCTTCTTTTACTGCTATCAAGAAGTGGCATAGACATGAGCACACGGAAAGAACAGCAAAACAAAATAGTCCTTCAAAGCATCAAGTACAGATACTTTAAAGCAAGATAACTTAATTCATAATATTAGTATTCGGTGAAGTCTACACATGACATTTTTCTATTAGAGTTAGACATCAAAATAAAAGTCAAACCAGCAGGTCTGTCTTGCCCAATACCTCGTGACTCAAGAGAGTCACAAGTCAGTGCTCAAAGCCAAGTCCAAAAATCAGATACTGACATTTTTTTAAGGGAACAAAAGTATTATATTCTAAAGATGTACAGGAATACTACCACTAATCCATATCAAAAAGAAAACTATCAAAAGCTGGACACATGACCGGGCTCACACCTCCAAGTGTTATCTGTATATTTACCTCCGATGGCACTTGGGAAAATCTCAGGGAAAAATCAGTAATTAATAGCAAAGCCCACTTCAATCATATGTGAGCCACCTGATAAGGAAGATTTACATGAAGCATATCACACACTTGCCTGAACAAGATAATACACTGTGAATGATTCAGCATTAGTTGAGAGGATGTACAAGCTGATCCACTACCTCTATGTAGATAATTGCACCAATGGCACTACTGCAGTAACCAAGCATTTTCTTATAGGCAGAAACAACAAGGTGCTTCTAGGAGGGCCAAGCTAACACTTTCAACTAATACTTCACGTATCAGGTGTGCCTGTGCCACACCTCCAAGGACACCAGAAGACCCCACCAAGTCTGACAAACACCTTATCAGCATAACTAAAGCAAGAGTCATGTTCTACACAGGCATGCGCTAAAGAAAAAGCTTGAGACATGTTTCTCACTCTCTCCTCAACCTGTCAGCAAAAAATACCCCAAAAATATCCAGAGCGGACAGAGGAAAGCCACATCTTTCATTTAGCTTTTTACAAAAGTTTTGCATACAAGAGGCATTTTAACAGAACATTGAGGGACTTGGCTTAGCTTTTAGTTCTTAGCACAGCCTGATCTTGATAATTCATCCCTTTATCTGGTACTCTTAACAGATGCATCTCCTGTAAGAGCAAGTCACTCTCATGTCTCTCCCTAATGTCAGAAAGCTTTATTGTTGGAGTGGAACCCAGCCAGCTGTAAGATGGACAGGGATTCCCTCAGGTCCTGGGCCCAATCTCACAGAAGAGCGAAAAGGCCCGGGTTAAACACTTGAATGGGAATCTTATCACAGGTGATGAAAAAAGCAGCATATGAGAAATCAACGCAGCAATGCTCACAATGGTGTTTGTCAGGAAAGAAAAACATCTCAGCAGAAACTTTTCAGGATATGAAACTCACTATCTAGAGGCAGGTTGTAATTACCAAGCTTGGCCAAACACAAGTGCAACAAGATCTAGGACACTCCTTTGGCCAATCACACCCCAAAGAGGGTAGTTTATTATTCCTAATTGCTACCTTGCCCATTTAGGTATCCATACCATTTTCCCACTTCACTGAGCTGAGGCTCTATAAATCTGACAAACTTGGCGACTACCAGGAAAAGGGTCAAAAAGTCTCAAGAGAAACAAGTTCTACAAGATTAAAAACCAGAAGCCAAACGAGTGTTTTGAAGCTCAATTAAAAATTACAGATCGTAACTACTGTTTCCTCAGTTTCATTCTGGGCACCTGTTCTGAAGGCTTAATAGAATTGTTTCTTCTTGATGAGCTTTGATTTAATTCTGTACCACTGGAAGCACTAACCCTAAACCAAACTTATAGGAAGTGTTGCCAGTCATCTAAATTATATCCTTAGGAAAAGTTCTGGGCACCCAAAATTTATATTGAATTCAGCTGGCAACTGTTTTCATTTCTAAATATTATATTTCTAGCCAAAACACTTAGAAATATCAACAAATGAAGAGAGGATGAAACTATGGCTTAAGTGCATCGTGCCTCAAAGCAGTCACACTTAAGAGCATCTTTGGATGCAAGTACCCCCAAGGCTGTTTTCCATGGCAAAGGCCAACTCACAGACCTAAAGAATGTAAGTGCTCTTCACATTCACTATCAATGATATGCTGCTGCACCAGCAGGTGAAGGATTTAAGCATCAGTATTTACAGCTTTCATGGCAAAATGGAAGGAAAAACAACATAAAATCGCAGAGTAATGGTGTGTAGTACAAAAGGATAGTCTAAGGTGCATTTATAAAGATAAAACCCCAACAATTACATGCGTGACCCCTCCCGGAGCCTGCGGGCCCCTCTGCCAGCTCCTGCCTCTCTCCAGTTTAACTTCTCCAGCTCCCAGGTGCCACCCGCAGCCCCGACCCCCCCTGCACCACAACAATACTTTGCTACAGATTTGGGGCCCCGCTGCCGGCACTCAGCCTCCTCCCCGCACCCCACTGCACCTCTCGGGCCACGCTCCCCACCCTCCCCCGGCCCAGCGCACCTCACAGGCCCGGTCTCCCCCAGGGGACCCGTCCCCATAGCCCCCCTCTACCTCTCCCCACATCTCTCGCCCCTCCCCCCACACACACAGGTGCCAACCGCCATCAACCGCCGCAGGCCCTCACCATGAACTTGAGGGCTTTCTCCTGCAGCACGGCCTCGGCCGGGTCCATAGTCCTACGCCGGGGCCGCCCCTCCTCTCAGTGGCAGGCCGCAGCCAGCGCAGACAGGAACCTGCGCTGCCCCGCGTCCCCCCTTCCACCTCGGGCCGCTGCCTGCATGGCGCATGCGCCGCCCGCAAGCCCACGGGAAATGGAGTCCCCGACAGAGGCACCGGCCAGGGCCCGTGCAGCCGATCAGGACTACAAAGCCCAGAAGGCCTTGGGGCAGGAGGCACGCCGGGAGCCGGCCGGCGCATGCACCGCCGAGGGAGAGGGGGCCGACGGGAGTTGTAGTAGCATGGGACTGTGGCGATGTAACCGGAGCGCTGGGGCTGGAAGGGAGCAAGGGAGAGAAGCCCTTTTCTGCGGGGACCATGTGGGACATTTCCACCCAGACCTCCCTAGGAGGGCAGCGCTGGCTCCCGAGTCACCCATCAGCACCTCATGTGTGGCTAATGGCGGGGTGCCGGAGCAGCGGGCTCCCCAAGCAGGGCCTCACCCGCGGTTCAGGGCTGGGCTGCTCCCTGGTTCTGCCCCCGTTACACTTCATGGTTGTGCACCGCCGATTTTGAAGTAAGTTGTTACTGGTAGAACATCCAAAACTAATCTTGTGCACGGAACAAGGACCAAAAGTACCTGGTGACTTCCATCCAGAAAGAACTGTGTACCAAACTGCACCTTGTCACGGGATATGAAACTGGGAAACTTCACTGGAGTAGATCAAGTAGACTCGAGGGATGTTTGTTCACATCCATCCTGTAAAGAACATTCCTTGTAAACAGCCTCCCATGGTGCCAAGGTGCCCTTAAACTTAGCTTTATTCTTCTTTTCTGATAATGTTTCTAAATCAATTTCTCCTAAAAATTGGCCCAAGCTCTCTTTGCTGTACCAAGCAGCAAGCAAAAGAATTGATCAGCATTCCTTTAACAGCAGCTGCATATAGACCAGAGGGTGTTTACACATCCACCCCTCCATCCTTTTATCTTCTCTGTTACACATCACACAAAACCAGCTCACTCTTTGGCAGCCACTGCTTGTAATCCTCTTGGGTTTGTTAAATTTGTCTAATGTCTTTCCAGTTTTCCTACATTTTTCACAATGTGCCCAAAAGTGGAGGCCAGCTCGCGTGGAGCAGTAGAAGGAAATTACCTCCAGTGTCTTTAGTACTAATTGTAAGACACCAAGAAGTTTTTCCTTTCTCTATAGCAAACAGGACACTGATCCCTGTGCAGTTTTGTCATCAGTAAAACACAGCTTTTCCTTGCCACATTTATATGTTTGACTTGGCATCTTGAGCAAGATCCCTTGAATTTCTTCCTCTGTAGGAGAAAAGGAGCCAAGCACAAACATCAGTAACTGCTCGCCAACATTCAGCTTAAACCCATTGTTTTTGCTCTATGTTTGACCTATAAAGCAAAGCTTCGAGTTGCAGGTATGAAACCAGCATCTCCTGTGGATCTGCCCCTTCCCTCATTTTCTGTAGACACCCCATCGTCTCCACATTCTTGAACAAGATAATCAGAGGGACAACAATGCAGAGAATATGCCCATTACTGGATTCCTTGCAGGGACATATGACCTGGATGGTGTCTCATGACTCAGTATCAGGAGTGTGTCCTCCAGCCAGTGAGCCAGCAGAGGTGACAGGGAATGTCAGCCCATGCAGGGTGTGATGCTGGGATGAGCTACACTCCCAGAAGAGTGGCTTGAGAGGAGGCAGCAGGAATAACCTTATGTCCTCCCTTTACAATCCTAAGGCATAGAAATCTTCCAAAGAAAGCTTTCAGGTCACCAGGACATGGGCTGCTATTCTTGGACTGGCCCAGCCACACTCTTGGTCATCATACTTTAAGCCCAGACTCTTAGCAGTGAAACACCTGAAATGCTTGCTATAATGGGGCTGGGCATTTTCCAGACTGCTGACAGCACTGAAAACGCTCACCACAATTATATAAATAACAGTAATTATAATGGGGGAGTCCTGTAATTACAAAGAGACGGCTCCTGTAACAGTTCTGCAGGCAACCAGGGGCTGCCGGCACTTGAGGCAAGGTTCTCCTGCGTCTCCTCCCTGCAGCACCCTGCAGTTGGCTGGGATGTAATGGATCCTCTTTGTAGCAGTGTGATGAGATCAAGGCTTTGATTGCATGGTTTATTTGTCAATAATATCTGATGCTGGCCTAATTGTAGGAAAATTGAGAAGTGTAATGCTTCAGCACTAGACACCACTGCCCCAAAGCCCTCCAGGCTGATTGATCTGTCTGGACTGTAACTTATAGGGGATTAATGTCTCTGGATCAGAAAAAGCATGAATGAAGTGGAGCCAAAACTAATGAGTGTTTAGGTGTTGGGCTTAACCTTGGTGGGAGAATAGAGTGGCTCAGTTATTCTGCTGTACTGCCACCAGGATCCTGCAATGCAAGACAACTGCGGAGGGACAGGGCAAGATTCTCTAGGACAGCAAAGAGAGAGACTAAGGAAAGGCTCAGAGAGACAAGGCTTGTCCCAGCAGCTCTAAGCATGGAGATGGTGTCTTGGCATGTCAGCCTCACCTGGACTCCTGCATCTGCAGCCCAGCCTTGTGTCTGCTTCCCACCATGGGATGCTTTCTGCACCCACCTGCTTGCTGTGTCCGCTGTGGCCCAGAGGAGAATGGGCAACACACCCAGCTGTGACACCCACCAGATCCCTGATACAGCTCTGTGTCATCGGTGTCACATCACACAGCAGGATGACAGGCACTGGAGACATCTGCAGTGTATAAGGCAAAGGGAAGGCACTCTTCAGATTCAGCAGATTCACAACCAATTAAATAATGATTTGTTTGGATTTCAGGAACCAGGAGCCAGATGTGTGGTCAGTGCTGCCTCTGCCACAGTAAAGCTGTCCTGACCAGCTCTCCTTTACTTTCTCCTTGCAAGAGCACTCATAAACCCGCTTTCTTTCCCTCCACACCCTCACTGCAGAACATGTTACATGAAGCAAGCCGTATAGCGCACAGGGAGCTCACCACCCTTCCAGATGAAGGATGCTACCTAACAGTAAAGATATTGCTGTGATTATTTTTGCACTAGCATATTGCTCTGTGCATTCTGGACTCTGCGGACCACATCCACGTCTGGTGTAACGCCATGTTAATTTGCTGTGGCAATCATTAATTGGGTAAGGAACAGCTGGTGCTTTGCTTTAAGTGAAGCTGATTGGGTCAGTAAGTAACTATTTGGTTTAAGCTATCTGCAGCAGGTACAGCCCTACCTCTCCCTGCACTCCAGAAGGGTTTCACTTCTTGTCCCAGTGACCCTTGGTGGAAGCAGCAAGATTTGGCCATGAAATGTTAGGGAGCTTTCATCAATCCAGTTCCTCTGGACTTTATTGCCTGAATTTTAATATTTTGAATAATAAAGGATGATTTTAAATTAAATTTGTGGGCTTGCCATCTGTGTGTGCTTGGCCTTGTTTTCCTCTGCTTTGGCAGTCCCTTGACTTCATTCTTTCCAAGTTGCAGCAAAAAGGAAAGGGAAATAGGAGAGAGCACCAGTGGAGGAAAATTATGTTATTCCCTTTGTCCTACAAGGTATCTTGGCAGCAGCAGCCATTATTGTGGGTATATTTCACAGTGCTGAGCATACAGATGATGTTTGAGAGCATAAGAGCTCATGAGAGGGACACAAGGACCCCTGCACCCAGAAACGTCCCAGTGGCTCTGCTCAGCCTCTCCATCCAGCTCATCTGTGATGGGAGCGTGCTTCACGCGGGGAACTGGCATCTCAGCTAAAGGGGCTTGGTGTGCAATGGCCTGGGGAATCTGGGGGCAGGAGGGCTCCCTGCAGCCTCTAGGCAAAAGGGCTTTTTTTAGGACAGAGACATTGCCACTCAATCATGCAAAAGGACAGAAAGAAAAGTCTAAGAGCATGTAAATACGAATTATGTTCACTGTATGGCTGGAGCAGGACAGTACCCATCTGGTACTAATGAGATGTGCAAGGCTGCGCATGTGGAGAGAACAACCAAAGACAGGCTTGAATGCAGAGAAACCAGAACAGTCAGAGTATGGATTGACATTACAATTTGAGCTGAATTTATCCCTTGTGCTGCTGAAAAGGGAAGCTGAATCCCCCCTCCTCCTGTCTCTGCCAGCCATGTGCTTCCTCCTCTCACCTTGTGCCAGCTCTGACAGTTGTTTGCTAGCACAGTGAACTGTTTTAATTCATTATAGTAGCAGAAAAATGATAATAAGGAAATAGAAACTAAACACTTTGTTGGTGAGTTAAACCGGCTTTTCTTGTGATGAGACAAATGGCAGAGCTACTGCAAGGGTGGTGGGAACTGCACTCCAGGGGAGGGGAAGGGAGGGGAGGGGAGGATGAATCTGGTTCCTCTCTGTGACGGGGAGCTGCTAATTCAGCAGACACCACATGAAAAACCTCACCTTCACACTCAGGTTCTCTTGACCCTCCTGGGTATTGAGTCCTCTCTGCTCACACAGCATCAGTGCTGCCACTGGAGGCTCTGGAGGGCCAAGGCAAAGAGTGGGGGAATGTCTCAAGAAGACCATATCCTGGGAGTATGAGATTCTCGCAGGGATCCTGAGCGGGTAATCCTGAGCTCATTTTCCTGTTTCCCATCTTGCCACTGGGACTGCATGGCACTGCTTTCTCCCTAGATTCTCTTGGCCAATTTATGATGCTGAAGCCCTGGTCCTAGTCCTCCCCGTAGCCTCTGTAGGTACTTTGTTTAAAATATAGATCAAAAGAAATGAGGGTGACAGTGGTGTTCTCAAACAGGAGCTGTAGCCATTGCCAGCAGCTTTCCCACAGTCCCAGTGGGATTCCCACAGGCCTCAGTGTCGAGCACTGGGCTGCCCTGCAAGGCTGTGCACATACAGAAACACACACCCCAACTCACAGCCAGCCAGGTGCCCCCAGCAGAGATCTGGAAGCCCTTCTTTACCTCCAGAAGCATCTCCTTCGCTCTCTGAGGCCTAGCCACCTCTCCACACCCCCCGTGCATCCAGAATGTGTCCTCTGGTGTTTGCAGCACCTTCCATCAGCCTGTCCTTGAAACAGCAGTGATGACAAATCCCTCAGTCCTTTATCAAACCTGAGAGCCCAGAGGAGCATCGCCAGGAGCTCAGCGTTG